AATGGGCTTTCATTGTTGTTGGTGTAACAGATAAGACACCCTATTCAAAATTTTAGAAAGAATGTCTTTCCAGAAACAGCAAAAATGAAAAGGTCGCAGGGGAAAGAAAATTCAATAGGATCTAACAACATATATTTCTTTTTATCTGTAACAAGGATTGCTCATTTGCTTCATTTTTAATTTAAAATAATTTTTTTAAAAGAAAAAATATTTAAAGGATTAAAAAATTAAAATGCTAGCCTAAAATTTCGGCGCATAATTGAAAAATTTATTTTTAGAGCGACGCATAAACGAAGGATGTTTATCATTATTTTCCTATCTAATGTACTGGGACCTATAAAAATCGTCGTATAAATGAAAAAGGTGCATAAAAGAGGTGGTGCATAAGTGAGAGATCACTGTATTTTGAATAATGGAATAGAGTATTATTAAAAGTTAGATTGTATTTCTTGTATTTATATATATTTTTTATATAATATTATGATATAGTATTGTATTTATCGTGCATCTAAAATTTTTTTTTCTTCTCTTCAACGAAATTGATGAAGGTCGGCGTTGGAGAGTAGGTTGTTCATATTTTATTGAAGTTAAATTTGAGCCTTGCTCTAAACTTTTTATTATGAATAATTCAATAGTATGTTATTATGATTAGATTGCATTTCTAGTGTTTATATTGTTTTTTTTTAAATTATGATATAATATTGTTCTTTCGTGCATTTTAAAATGTTTTAGAAAAAAAAATGTGGTTCAAACGTCAATTAAACTAGTGACGGCAAACTAAATTAAGTTTTTAAACTTTTGTTTCCAAATGATTTTTTTAGATCTAACCACATAAAAAATTAAATTTTTCAGAACTTTCTTTTGAATCTAACGATGAAGAGTTTTCAAACAAACTTAAAGAAATTTGTAATTCTTTTACTTTTTCGGACTTGGTCAAAAATAAATATTCCTATTTAATAAATGTGAAAATTTATGTTACCCAAACAAAAGGACAATTAACACTTAACAAAATTTGTGAGTCTCCCTTATTACGATAGGCGAAATTTTCAACTCAGCAAAGTCTTATAATTGATACTGATTTACCATATGCTTTAGTAGGGTTGTAGACTTGCAAAGATTTTCGTTTGTTTATTGATTGTGTCGGGCCAGTTGTTACTCAATTTGGTAAGAGATTGATCATCTCTGCTAATTCTAAAAGTGACAACTTATCTTTGCACATTAAACAGCAGAACTCTCAAAATGTTAAGGTTAAAAATGGGGAAAAAGATGTTTCAAAAAAAGTAAACATCGAAAAAAGAAAAGAATGATGTTTCAAAAAAGTAAGCATCGAAAAAATGAATGGTAAGGATGTTTCAGTAAAAGTAAACAAAAAAAAAAACAAAAAAAAAATAGAAAGAAAGAATGTCCAAAAAGTTCAAATGTTTCGAAGATAGATCTAGTTAATGGATGCGTTCATTATCAGGTTAATATCGACGAAAAAATATGTAAAGGGTAACAATAACAAACACAAAAAATAAAAGGAAAAATAAGAAAAAGAAAGAATGACCAAGAAACTGATTACCAAAACAAAAATGAAAAGAAATTTAAGTAAACAAAATTTTGAAAAAGTACATGTTTCAAAGAAAAATATCACAACCCACAAATGTTGAAATTAAATTCTGAATAAATAACACATGTTGTCCAGTTCATTTGCATAAAAATTTTGTATATTTTTGTGTGAAAAATTTTTTTGAAAATTTTAGTTGAATAGTTATATTTCATCAAGTAAATAACCTTTTAACCACACAGATTCTTAAATTCTGATTAATTGACACTTGTTGTCCAGTTCATTTGCATAAAAATTTTGTATATTTTTGTTTGAAAAATTTTTGAAAATTTTAGTTGATTAGTTATATAAATGTTTAATTTTTCTTTCTGTTTAGTTACTAAATAGATAAATTGCATAATCATGTTTTTCATATTTTTGTCATTGTAAATAATATTTTTTCTTCTCATAATTGAAAAAATGTTGTTTGCAGTAGGGAAAAAGGAACAGTCGTACCAACCTAAAAATTTTAAATTTAAAGTATTCAAAATATTTTTTGGCTTACCAAAAAATTTTTTTTGGGGGGATGTAATACAAAAATAATAAATACTTTTGTATTAATAAAAGAATTACAACTCCTTCGTTTTCATAAAATGTCTTTGTTAAAAAATAAGCGTAGAGAGATTCTATTTTGGGAATTCAAAACTGAAAACATACCATTGAAATATAAATAAATTTATATTTCAAAGGAAGAGTTATTTTTAGAATCGTTCCCTTTTTCACTTCCATATAAGGAATCAGAAATGATTTTCCTTAATGCGTAAGGTTACAAGGAATGTACGAAGTGTGCCTTTTTACCTCAAATCTGTGTTGGTATAAAACGTAAGAACGCATCGTTTTGCGTGTCCTTTTCATCATGATGTGATCCTGATAAGCTGTTTCGGAATTGTCCGGAGTCTTGTCCACGCCCCCTCCTTTGCAGGAGTGGGGACGTGAACTGTCATCAATACCAGCCTACCTTTAAATAAACCTGTTTAGAACGTATGATGACTTAAGACTGCAATTATTTCAAGCTAAATACAACACTNAAACAAACAAACAAACAAAAAATTAGCCAGTAACAGAGCCAGAATCCTTTCAAAATATATATATATATAAATAAAAATATGGGCGAGTCTCGGGAATCATTAACCTATATGTCTTCAAACTTTTTTTATAAATATATAACATAATAAGCGAAAATTAATTCTAATAAAATTACAGGAATAACTATGAATTACTAACTTTAAGATACGTGCAGTTTTGATTGCGAGTAAATTGCTTTTGGCTTTCATTTCTTACTTCAATCCTACATTTGACAACTTTTCATGAGTGTCGCTTAGAGTGTTTAACATACTTTTTACTTTTTTTTCAGTACGTATTCTGTTTAAAAAAAACTTAAAATCACTAAAAACATAATTTAGTAGCTCAGCTGTACTATCATATTTTCTTGAATGATATTTTTCGTGAATATTGACGTTTGCAAACACTTCAAGTTTGTCGCCAAATTTTGGCACGTCAAACCGTAACCAGCGAAAATTGAAAAAAAGGTATACAATCCAATTCTGCAAGTTTTATGTTAGTGATATTCCAAAAGCTTATTTAAAGTAAAACAAACTTGTATCATTTTTATAGATAAATATTTTTGTTTGCAGTAATTATAAATTAATTGAATTTATCACAAACTGTCATTCGGTGAGGTAACAGTGACGATGTCAAGACCGTAACCAGACGCAAAACTAAAAAGTAAATGTTAAAATCAATCAAAATGTTGATCACACGTTTGTCATTGCCTAATTTATTTTCTGTGTTGTGTGCATCGCATTGCGTTGCATCTGAGAAAAGTTTCGATCTATTCCCTAGGTTGTCCAGACCGTAACCCTGTCAAACCGTAACCTCAGGATTAATTAATTGAATTTAACATATCAAAGATTAGTTTTTTCCCTATGTTTTACTAATTGAAGATATTTTTGAGCAGAAAATAATTAAAGTAAGCCTTTTTATACATTTTATAATAATTTAACTTAATATTAAAATTTTTCAATTCATTTATGATACTCCTAATTATTGATGAAAAATAAAGGGTAAATATGGTAAATTCAAAAATTTTAATTTTTTGTTTATACTTATAAGGGCATCAAAATTTTCGATGCTCGCGATTATTTTCTCATATTTTATGCATTGTCAAACAATTCTGGAGGTGAAAAAATAGTGTGTCTATTATTTTTTATTATTATCAAAAGTTAAAGGTTCTAGAGATCTGCCCATATATATGCAATACAATAAGAGCTAGACATTCAACGTCAAGAGTATCTTATTTAATTTTAGCGTTGGTGCTTACACTGCTGGAATTTTCATTCTAAAATTACGGTAAAATAGCCGGCAAAAGTCTGTCCAACGAATTAATCTTTACGGTTTTGAAACCGTTGGAACTGGTATGATCGAAAAACCGTAAAAGTAAAATCTTACTTGAAATAGGAGTTAGGTTATGCTAGGCTATTCGTTTGGTGATGAAAAATTGCTGAAAGTTGTGGTTGAGTTGCGTTATGTCTAATGAACCTAGGAATGTGGGCTAATTTTTTTTTCTTGTGATGCCATCTATTGTGAGAATTAGGAAATACTAACCTTTATTGTGTTTATCAGCTTGAGCATAGAGGATGCTTCCATCTATGCGTGAATGATAGAGTTTTCTAATAATGTATAGTCACCAATTGGGAGGGCAGGCAATGAAAATTCTTCATTTGTTGAAAGAGTGGAACCCTATGTCATTGAATGGAAAAATCAGCCCTCTTAGCTTCCCCAAGAACCCAGCCGCAAGGAACTAAATGGTTTAATATTTGTGGGACGTGGATTAAATTCTGGTTGTTTAACCGTATTAGGTGAAAACATTTAACACACGATTTTCTTACAGTTAATAATTTGAATAACATTTTTTATGGTTATTAGACTGTTTTGGTTAAGCATGGTAAAATAATAATTATTAAATAAAATAAGAATTTATTAATAAAATAAAATAATAGTTTATTTATTATTTAACTACTTTTTCTAAGAAATTTTTTACAGTGTAGGAATCTACTGTGTTCAATTTTGTGTATTTGCAGATGGTGCCCTACTACATTGTGAATCGATTCAGTTCTTATCCTGGTCTCACTGGTCTGTGCATCTCTGGAATATTCAGTGGGTCTCTCAGTACTGTTTCCTCCGCCTTGAACTCGCTATCCACTGTCACTGTAGTAGACTATATCCAACCACTTTTTCCAGGAATGACTGAATCTAAAAATGTTTTTCTGGCAAAACTTTTGTGTAAGCATAACTCACCATCAGTTAGCAATCGTAATTAATTATTTTCGGTGAAAAAAAATGTTTTAATAATAATTGCAGACGCTATGTTAAGATAGAGGATCTGACAGATTTGCCATGAACTGCAAATATCTCTTCGAAATTTGAAGAGAGAATAAGGTGCTGAAGAAGGTGAGCATCAGAATTCAATTTTATAGTCCAAAATTTGGGGCTATTTATAATTTAACGTGAGGGTGGGATTCAAAACCTTAACTTGTGCTCTCGAGTTAATTCGAGCGCGCTAAACAGGCCAAACTGTTTATACTCGAGATAATTCGAGCGGCGTTGTATTTTATGCTGCTATAATTTTTCACACTCGAACATAATCGAGAATTGAAAATAACAATGTGAAGGCTAAGAAGAAAAAAATCTTTTTATTGATATTTATCATTTACGTAGGATTGTAAGCTATAACACTTATTTATTCAAGAATAAAATATAGCCTTTTTCCATGGAACAAAAGCGCAGTATATCAAAATTATCCACCAAAAGAAAAGACAATGTTCTAAAGTGTGCTTTTTTACATTGAAAAAAAAATGCTTTTTATGGCTGCTTTTTTTTCCAAAAAATCGGGTTAATTACTGATTAAAAAATAACTTTACCTTCCACCAGTACAGAGGTTGGACAGTGGACCACTCAATAATCATTTCAGTATACGTTTCACTTCTTTCTTTAAAAAAAAAAAAAAAAAAAAAAAAAAAAAAAAAAAAAAAAAAAAANACGAAGCTCAACGTTACCAAAAAAAAAAAAAAAAAGGAAATAAAACTTAGAGTACATTTTAAAGGTTGATATAGTTAGGTTAAGTGCAAGTTAAGATTTAATTTTGTTGGTTCAAGTTCAAATAAATTGGGGGGGGGGAATACATTAGAAATAAATCATACTGTCAACTTTAAATTATCTAAAGTTTAGCAAAATAGGGTCGCAAGTAAAAACATTTGGAACATTGTTCTCATTTTGAGTATTTAAATCATTTAAGCAGATTGAATGTCGATTTTTATATTAATTTGTGATACACATTTTCATACGTTTCGATATTGTTTTATAATTAAGAAAAATAGGTTTCAAACTAATGAATTATCTCCGTTCTGAAATTGCGTTTGAATTGGAAAATATTTCCTGGGATGTTATTCGTTATTCTGCCTGAAAGAATCTTCTGTGTGACCAAACGTTGAACTAAAACATCTGGAAGCATCTCAGCACTAAACTTTTTCTAATAGTTTTAGTCATTTAGCTACACTAGTAAATCATAAAATTATATTAAAAACAGTATATTTTGTATAATGGTTAAAATTCTTTGGCTAATGCATCTATTTCATTGTAGGTTTTCTGTACGGCATAGTAGGTATCGGAATCACATATATATTTCTCAATGTTCAGAGTCTAAAACAGTTTGTTACCTCCATAACGGTGTTTGAAGGTTCGATACTTGCTGTTTTCTTGATTGGTATTCTTACTCGAAAAGCTGATGACAATGTGAGTACTTTTCTAGAATATTAGTCATTAAAAACTATCGATTTACTCTTTCATACATTGAAATAAGAAGCATGGTAAAAATGACCAGAATATTGTGAAACGTGTTTCTGGCACTTCTGTAAAAAATTCTGAATCAATCTGCGGTAAAAAAGTATCGGCACTCATAATGCCGGTACATTTCACCGCAAATTCCATTTTCACCGGGACATGTTAAGAAACAAAAAATCTGATTTTCACAGTAATAATTACCGTAAAATCACTGAATCATCTCTAATTAAATAAATATTACTGTAAAATTTAAGGTATAATATTTTAGGGTAATAAGGAATTTTACGGATGTAGCATTCAAAGTACCCATACTTTATACAGTAATATTATCCAGAATATTTTTTCAGTGTATGGGGACACCAAGAAGCACGATAATTTTGACTGAAGCGCTTTGGCAAAATTGAAAATAAAATAGGATTTTATTGCCATGTTGATTGGTAATAAAATAGTAAATGTAGTAAAATTTGGTAATTTTATGATGATGCTTTAAAGAACAATTTATTCGGTTAAGTTTAATTTTTAGTTTTATATTTTTATGAAATGTGTGGTAATAAGAACTATAATTTTGAAAACCTGATTTTCCTATAAATCGAACGGAAAAATTACTTAATGAATAGTTATAAAATTAATTTAAAAAATAAAAAAATTTTTAACCAAAAATGTCATTATTATCCAAATGTCGCAATTTTACCGGAACTTTCTTTTCCGTGTACTCTTCTATTTGTCAATTTTTTTTTACCATTCTGCTCCATTTCTATATTTAAAAGTTTGACATCATTCTAGTTATCATTATTAGTTAGCTATATATAGCTAACTAATAATAACTACTTTTTTCTCCTATCTCAACTAATTTTATAGAAATATACTCGAATAGTAATGAATTTTCAGGCCAATAAATGAACTAATATTTTGTTTAGTTAAAATGAAGATAGAATTATCGACTTAGTGACAAAAGCTTATAACGTTTAAAAAAATCATTAGTTGGGCAATTTTTTATTTTCCACGAAAGATTATTCCACTTTCAAAAGCTAGGCCAATTTCAATGCCTTTCTGCTTGGTTAGTTTCTCCATACAGAATATCAAATAATTTTCTAATTGTTAAGAAAAGATTTTTTTTTTTTTTTTTGCGTTCTGTCTGTCAGACTTCGTAAACGTATATATTTCACATGGATTTTCTTTCCGAATGTATGAATACACTTTCTTAAAATAATTTTTGGTTTGGTACTTTTAGTACTTAAAAACTATTTATTTAATACTTAACTCATTTCTTATTCCCTAATTCTCAACTAGCAAAAGAAGAATAAACATTTTTTTTAAATATGGAATTAACTGCACAAACTTACAGAATTAGTAAAAAAATATCAAACTCAAAATTAGAGTGTCAAAAATAGGAAATATTCTGAAAAGAATTAACGTAAAATTAATTCCAACATAAAGTCAAGAGAAGCATAAGGTAAGACGTTTTTTTTTTTAATTTTTTAAATTTTTTTTTTTTTTTATAAATGCATCAAAAAATAATTTTTGCTTTCTTCCACATGTTTGTTGTAACGTTAAAGCAAAGTAATATCCAATTAAAAGCATCAGTTAGATTGTTGTATAGTTTAAATAATCATCGGATGCTTATAATACTTTGAAACTAATAACTCATTTCAGTGCATAATCTTTGGAACAGTTTTGAGTGTTCCCATCATTGCTTGGCTGTCATTTGGAGCCTTATTCAGTGGTTACAAAGAACCTCCTTTAGCTCTGAATAATCATTTATCAGCCATTAATTCATCAAGTCAAATGCCTAATTTCACAACAAGATGTATTGATGAAAGTACAAATATCCAGACAACCATCCTTTTACCTACATATAAAAGGTACGACATTTCTCTTCATATATATTTTAAGCAATCTGTTCTGTAAGTGCGCAAAGTTAACCACGCGAATTACTTTCGATCTAATATTAGCGTTTTCACATGCTAAAATGGAACCTTATTAATAGTGCAGAATAGGCATTAGTGCAAACAATATGCTAAGTTATGAAATCAGATCTGATAATTTAAAATCCCTTAAAAATGCAAGTGATATAGGGAAAACTACATAATAAATTACAAAATCTAAATAAAAATGCACTTTTAGAGTTTTTGATTTTCTAAATCTGAGGACTTTTTATTTTATATTATAACCGGCGTTGAAAAGTCGACCCAATTTTTTTGGTTTATGACTACTAATGTTCAACTCCGTAGAATTGTAATTTTAAACCCAATCCAGAAGACAAGGAAACTGCTGGATCAAGTATTGGAAAAATTTGCCTTCATGGACGACTTTTTGATGGATATTACCCGCATTTGCGATACGTGGAGAGGAAGACTACGTGAACCTCTACCGTTAGCCTGACGGCAAGGGGACTCTAACCCATGATCCGTCTGCCACTGAGGATATGTCGGTGCAAGTTGGATGAAGAATTAGTATCGACCAGCCATCGGTGGGATTTGAACCCGATTCACCTCATTGGAAGGTGAACTCTCTATCACCTGATCCATCACAGCTCAAATCTGAGTACTTTTTATTTTTATTTTACAGCCGTCGTTGTACAGCAAACCCAGTTTTTGGGCTTACTACTACTAATGTTCAACTCCGTAACTTTGTAATTTTGAATCAATTTAAAAGACAAGAAAACTCCAGGATTCCCCCCCCCCAGAGGTATTGATTTATTATTGGAACATGGAGGACTTTGAGACTCGACAGATTTAACGTGCATCAGTCACCATTTACTTCAAGGGAAATCGAACCCACGAACTCTTGGACGGACATGAGCCCGGTGCCCTACCTACCTATCCCGGCCAAATCTGAGGACTTGATATAATTTGGAAATTATTCCAATTGTTGACGAGACAAGAAAACGGTCGGTAGTTTGGGCACCAAAAAGCGAATATTTCACTTTGCACATATCATTATATCTCTCTGTTATTATTTACGCAAATCACAATATTAAGCTCCTGATTAAAAATTTGTTTGTGTTAAAAATATGCAGCATTAGATTTAAAAATTGATAAAATGTTTTCAGATTTTAAGTTATGCAAATTTTTATGCCTCAATGTTTTACCATGCAATTTTAAATAAAAAAATTCAAAGTTGGTAGAAATCAGTAGCGAATTTATATTTGAGCAAGTAAAAATCAAAAAAATTATCCAAATCTGACAAATTCAAATTGAGGAACTCGGAATTATAAACATCAATACCAGTTTGATTGCCCAAGTAAATTGAAGGGTGGTAAAAGCAGGTTACTAGAAACACTGTAAAATTTCTTTTAGCAATTAAACTAGTTTTAATGAATTTATGTCCTTTTTTTACTATTTTTTTAATAATGATCTGCGAGATTTGGATAACTTTAATACCATGTAAATATTTCTGACAACCTTTTTGACCAAGAATAAAAAAATATGGTGGAAACGGTAACTAGAGTGAAAGAGTTTAAAAAAGTTTTACATATTGCTTAAGAAAAAATATTTTAGCATTTATATCTATATATATATAAATCTCTTGTCACAGTTTTAGTGGTTAAACTCCTCCTAAACTGCTCGACCGATTTTGATGAAATTTCATATGTATATTCAGTAGGTCAGAGAATAGGTTTATAACTATTTTTTTTTCTTCATTTTTTGGACAGATTTAACGTATATTTTGAATATATCTTTATTTAATCATATTCCAATCCAAACTAGACATAGAAACATGATAAATCAAAAACAATATTCACGCACGTTGCAACAAGTCATATTAAACTCTAATACTTATGCTCGCCTTTAAAAGAAGAACATCAAATGTACATCAAATATATGTGAATAAAGGCAGTGATATGTCAGTGTTTCGAGTTGAAAATGCCAATGTGATTGCTCTTCCAGTGAATAACAACGATTAAGTAACGCTGTACCAAATTGGCCGGTACATCACCTCCAATGAAGCTACTATGGCTCTATGGCCACAGTGTTGAAACACTGTAAAATTATCATCTGGGATGAATGCACTATGGCACACAAACATTCGCTTGAGGCGTTGAACAGGACATTGAAAGATATTATAAACAATGACAAATTATTTGGCGGCAGTTCAGGTGATTTCAGACAAACACTTCCCGTCATTCCGCGTTCAACGTACGCTGATGAGATCAATGCTTGCCTGAAATCCTCTCCACTTTGGAGTAATGTTGAAAATGTTCAACTAAAAGTAAATATGCGCGTCCAAATGCTTCAAGATCCATCTACTGAAATATTCTCAAAATAATTGTTAAATATCGGTGATGAAAAAGTTACTAAGGATGAGACTGGATGCATAAAATTACCGAACGATTTCTGCACAATCATTGGATGTACACACACACCGATGTTCACTGGCAGAAAGGGCGATTTTAGCAGCAAAAAAATTTGGACGTCAACGAATTGAATCTGAAGATACAACAGTTATTGCCAGGTAACTTGGTGACATATAAATCCGTTGATACAGTTTGCGATCCTATTGAAGCTGCAAATTTTCTAACAGAGTTTTTAAACTCATTGGATTTACCAGGCATACCACCGTATAAATTAGTACTCAAATTTGGATCTCCAATTATTTTGCTTCTTAACTTGAACCCACCACGGCTGTGCAACGGCACGCGATTAGTCGTTAAAGAATTAATGAATAACGTTATCGAAGTCATTATTTTAAATGACAAATTCCGATGTGAAAGTATATTACTTCACCCCGGATATATATATATTATATAGCTAACTAATAATAACTACTTTTTTCTCCTATCTCAACTAATTTTATAGAAATATACTCGAATAGTAATGAATTTTCAGGCCAATAAATGAACTAATATTTTGTTTAGTTAAAATGAANATATATATATATATATATATATATATATATTCTTAAAAAATTAAAATGAAATTTATTTAAATCTAAAAATATATACTTGAACAAACAATCTTAATTATTTATTTTTATTAATGTTAAATAATAATTCCTAAATAACTTCAGATATTTTCCACCTATATAAGAAAACCTATTTACAATTCTAAATAAAAGTCTAATTCCGAAACTAGATGTCTATTTTTTATATTTACTTAGTGTAAAAAGTATTTAACACTGAAGATATATATAAAGGTATACACTAAAGATATAACACTTATTCGCTTAAGCCTAGTATACTTTAATTTCAAATAAAAAATAAGCATTTTAATATGTGATAAGCATACTCACTTGTTGTATAGTATCTTCCATCGTTAAAAAGGCTTTAAAAAATACTTAAAAGGGGCATTTAAAAAGCAAATTAAGAAATTACTTTCCGGCCATAAAAAAACTTGGTCTTTTTATTTCCACTTAAAACTAAATTTTGTTTTCTTAAAATAGCAATTTTTGAAAGTGCATCACACAGTTTTGCCAAACAAATTAAGAGATTAAAAATTGAGTAATTAAAAATAGAATTGATTGAGTGATTTGAAATAGAAATAATCAAGCAGATCCCCACATATTATGAGTGTTATGATTTCAGAAAACTCAATATGTGGGGGTTTTTTTCTAAGCGGAAGTATGTCAGTTTAAATAATCGCGTTTTTTGATGCTAGTGCGAATATTTTTAAAATAACTCCTAGGGAACAATGTTTTTTATTACATTCTGACCAACACAACAACGCGTGATACATTTCACTTGAAAACAAATTCTTAGAGTGACTTGAAAATTATTAGTTCACTCTTTTAAAAACTTTGTTCTTTGTAATAATATTTTGATCGATAACAATGTTAACATTTTATGAAACACGAAATCCATATTATTTACATACTAAATAATTTTATTGCAAACTTTTGGTGGTCTAAATCTATTTTGTTCTGGATCTAGCTTTGGAGTAATTTCATTTTATTTTTTAGTGATATCTTTGTTCTTTACAAAATATCTTTTCAATGGCTTCCTGTGTTAAGTTTCTTCTGTACATCTTTCATGATATTCCTAATGATCATCATTACAGGTTAGTAATTTCTTTTATTCTTTTCTAAATAATTTTCTTATTTAAGTTAAAAACTTTCCAAATATTCCCGTATTTTCCCTTCAAAATAAGGAAAAAAATATATTTGAGTACTCTTTTTAAACATACGAAAATAATATTTTCATGATAAAAAATAGTATATCAATTAGTTCCTGTTGGCGGAGATCCTAATTTTGTGTTAACTTCTCAATTATTTTACAAGTAATCGAATAACTTCTCTAAGAGTAATTATACTAATAAGTCTTTTTGTTTCATTCAGTAACCTATACTCTCGGTAGACCCATCTTATGTAATATTCCGTCACTACGCTGTGAAAAATTCCAAATCAAATTATCGTATAAAGTGCCGGCACTTCAGGGACATCATCGGTAAAATCCATCTTTACCATAAAATATTATATCTCAATTTTCACAGTAATATTATTCAATTAAAGTTATCTTATAATTATAACAGTGAGAAGTACGGTAAATCAGATTTTTCGTTCCGTTATGAAAAAATAGATTTTACAGTGAATAGTAGCGACACCCTGAGTGCCGGTACATTTTACCGTAATTTCAACTGGAATTTTTCACAGTGTATTTTGCTTAGTTCGCCTTAATACTGTTTATAAACTTGTAAAATGAAGATGCAGCAAACAAATGCTTGTTTTATTGGTTAATAAATAATAAATTGGCTGGTTTAATAAATAAATAAAAAATGTAAATTGATAGAAAAGAATTTAAGAAAGATAAGCAAAAATAAGTTGGTCTTGTTTATTAGTATGCGCTAGTTCCAAACATTTTTGTTGTAACCTTTTATTATCAACTCTTTATATATATTAAAGATGCAGAAAAAATATATTTGAAAACTACAGAGAATGTATGATACTACGATAATGATATAAATATTTCATAATTAATTTCACAAGCATTCAAACTTTTATTTTCTTTAAAAATCGTAGCAGACCATCAAGGAATCAATCAGTTTTAACTATTCGTGAACGCAACGACCTATAGGTGGCGTTGTTATTTGAGACGAATGACTGCTAGCAGAACAACAGGATCATCTTCAGTGTAGCATGCTAACGTTGCATCTTTATTGTCGATTGTTAAATTAAAAAAAAATTTTTTTTTTTTGATATTCATTCTTCTGCGAAACAAAATCGAATATTTTCTTCTTTTTTTTAGAGAAGTAGCATTCCGAACACATCGGAAAATATTTGTAAATAAACAGGAAAAAAATATGTATCTTATCTTCATATTAGAGTTGAAACCTAATGCCTGTGAAATCGCTCTACTAAATTTAATGATCAAATATGAAAGATCTATTTAAACTTTATATTCCATACTTTTCTGAATCATAGTATTTCACTCATTAAAATATGCAAAAAGTATACACAGACGCACTATGTTATGTCATTTAATTTTGCAAAAAATAAAGTTTTTAGACAAAAATTCTTATAACAAAATTAAGCGTTTTAATAAAAAAAAAATCATCATTTATAAGCTAAAAAGCGTAAAATAACGAATGCTTACCGTTAAAAAAACAATCGTAAAAATTCCTCACATTAAAATAAAAAATGTTCATATTGTTTTTTGTTTTTGTTTTTTTAAAAGTTCTTAATCAGACGTAGAAAGTCATTCTGTAGAGAGAGCTATCATCGAATTAGAATAAAAAAATTTACAGTTATATTTTTATTATGAAATTCATAACACTTTTAAACTTCATAACGCTTTTTAACTCCGGAGAATTCCAAAATGAAATGTTCTTTGCTTGATAATTTTTTTCTTGTGTAATATATACATAGATTATCCCTTCATTATTTTAATATGACAAACCACACAATAAAATTTTATAATTGTGAGATCTCGATATGAATTTCAATATGCAACTGAATAGCTGAATTCTTGTTGAAATTAATCATCCAAAATTTTAAAAAATTTTACCAAGAAAGTGATAAAAATCTATTAATAATCAGGACAAATGATGCTATTTCATCAAATCATTTGGATTACTCTTTATTGTTATTTTCCGAATTATATAGATACAGAAATACATACTATTCTATAAAGAAAAAAATATTCTATAACTATTACAGTACTGTACGTTCTGAAAGCACATTTATTTATTAGAATGAAGTAAGCAATGAGGATTCAAACAACTTCAATTCATTTTATAATTGATTGAAGATAAAAAAAAAAAAAAAAAATATGTATTTTACCTTAATACTCACATCTTTAGCAACATGCGATCATGAAATTGGAAGTTAGCGGTTGCAAGTTCGTCGATAACGGAAAAGAAAAAATTATTGAGAAATTGTTAAAATTGTTAAATTGTTAAAGATTTAAAACTAAGAAAAACACCTAATTTTCCCTAATGGGTAAAATTAACTTGTGCTTAGGTAAACTGTTCATACTATAGAAAGTTCCCAATCAAATAACAGTGTAAAGTACCGGTACCATAGATATAGAGTTGAAAATACAATATCATCCGTAAAATTAATTTTACCATAAAATCTATTTTTAACGTAAAATTTTATACCGTATATTTTACAGTAATAATTATTTAATTTAGACGTAGAGGATGGGCAGCTCCAAAGAGCAGGACACATCGATCAGAGGTATATTGTACGAAACCCTAAATCATGATAAATAAAAAATCCTTACAGCTGAAATGAAGTTCAGCAAGCACTTGACAGGAGCGTCTTACAGTTCCCAGGCCTTAATGCAATATTGCGCTAAATGCTCAAATCTTTGAGCAGAAGAGACCTCACAATCACAAAGTATTAAGCCTCCTCTTCAAGATGAGAACCTCGACAAAGAGAATTAGATTCAATGCCCATTATGTTTAGGCATCTCCTGAGGGTGCAGTGTCCAGTGAGAAGACCTATGATCTTCCTCAAACTGTTCTTGTTTAGCTTAAGGAGCTCTTTTTGACATACACTAGGACAGTTACGATTTTTATCTTTAGCTTGTCTCTGATCATCCGAGTTGCGCCAATGCTCATGGGCAATTTTGCGATGGAGCTTGAATATAGATGCCCTGAATGATGTGGGAGAGATTCCCAAGGCTGGTTCAGGGCCCTAGAAAATCGAGAGCCATCCCGTGCAGCTTCATCAGATAGCTCAATTCCAAGAATACCATATGTCCAGTTTCCCAATGTTGGTCTACCTTGTTATGCGTAGAGAGGTCACAAAAGTCGGAAAAGCACTCCTACACTACTGAAGAGGGGAATTTGCACCTTCATAGTGATAGGAGAGCAGTCTGACTGTCGGAGCAAATGGGGATAGTCATTTTTCGATATACCCTGTCTAAGCATATCTTGAAACGCAAGATGACGGCATAGACTTCAGCCAAAACAGTGGCATAACTACCTAAGGGAAAGTGAAGTATGGTGCCATCATTGGAACAATGAATTCCTGCCCCTGAGTTAAGACGAGGCCTTGAACCATCAGTGTATCATGTAAGACATTTGCCTTTAAGCCACAGAGGAGAATTAAGCCATTCATCTTTAGTAGAAAAATGGATCGTGAAGGGCTTGTGAAAAGCATATCTTAGTGACATATAATCACTACGCATAATAACAGATGGAATATCCGACACTCACGAAGCAAGGTGATCCCATGACAAGTGTTTAACACAAGACGCTTAATACCAGTTTGAGCTTCAGCTTCAATGTGTAGATTCAACGAAAAAAGCCTAAGTAAGCTCTCCAGAACAACTGTGGGAGTGTTTCTGAGACATCCTGACAAAGCTAGGCAGACCATTATTTGTAGTCTGTTAAGACTAGACTTGACGGAGCTCATCCTAGTCTTTGACCACCAGATAATTGTACCATATGTGATAATAGGAATGATATTAATTGAGTACATCCAGTAAACTATCTTGGGTGATAATCCCCAGGTTTTAACAGTAGCATTTCTGCAAAACCAGAAAATCTTCCTGGCCCAGCGGATACAATATTCCAGATGATGACCCCAGTTTAGTTTAGAGTCATAACAAACCCCGAGAAACTTGACTTTATCAGTGAGTTCCGACCTATAATCTGGGTTATACACATCACCTAGATTAAGATGCCTTTTTCTGGTGAAGGTCCCAAGACTTATCTCTGAAGGGTTAACAGATAAACCAGAATCAGATCACCATCTAGCCACTTCTAGAAGTGCACCTTTTATGATTTCGGAAACTGTTTTGCCATGCTTGACTCTGACAATAATAATAGTCACCATAATCAGCATATCCAACACAAGGAATGTCAAGATTAGTAAACCAGGCCAACAAAGAGTCCATAATCACACACCATAGGATAGGCTCCCTGAGGTCAGCCTGAGGTAGTATGAACTCTCATGCTTGTGCCCAGTAAAGAGGAACAAACATGCCTGGAGGACAGCAAATTAGCTATCCACCTGGTGATGACCGAATCGATACTGCTTTGATTTTAGTCTCAACAGAGACGTTTTCAAAAGCACCTTTAATGTCAATACCGCCAGAGCAATCTCTTTATCTGAGTTCTAGTTCATTTACGTCGCACTAGAGCTGTACAATGGGCTATTGTCTGGGAAACATCCCTGAGGATGAAGACATGCCATCACAATTTTGATCCTCTGCAGAGGGTGTGGCACCCCCACTTCGGTAGTCCTTTACGGTAGAACAGTTTAACGAGGATCAATACCGCACACACTCGGTCTCTACGCAGTCTGATTCAAGTGGTCACCCACCCCCACACTGATAGCAGTCAATGATGCTTGATTTCGGTGATCTGTTGGGAACCATGTCTTAACGATCAGTCCACTGCGGGACTCTCCTTATCTGAGAGTGCTTTCTCAAGCATGACGGAGAGATCATATAGAGCAGAATCAATTGACTTGCCAGGTTGATAAGCGTGCTGTGAGGAGGACAGTGGTTTTCTATAAGTACAGAGTCTCTAAAATATCTGTCAATAAGCTTTTCAATGGCTTTAAATGATTTAGTTTCAAATTTATTTTCCTTACCTGGTTTTGGGAG